AAAATATTGAAAATATTTATTTTGGCATAACAAAATGAGAAATTTCATATTGACTATATAAATTCAACAGCAACCATAAGATCAATATTTGATTTTCTTTGAAATAAAATCAGCCAAATTGTGAACATCATAGATAAATGAGATCTTAATGTATTGCAATCGAACCAGTTTTAATTAAGAGGTGCTGCTGGGCATTATGGACCCGCTCTTTGAGTGCCACGAGTGCCATCTGTGCCAGAAGCATGCCATAAGCGCATGCTCATGTCGTCGCGATTCTCAAATCTGGTCAAACTATTTACTCACGATATTTGCCTGCATAAGCGATAAATCGAGGCATATTAGTGGAGAGCAGTGTCAACGCTTGTGTCTAATCTAAAGCAAACAAGCTGCTTTCCATATTAATTTAGCTCTACTTGCCATTGGATATGCTGTCTGATCGATCGCCCAAAGAGTCCACTGAGTCATGTAGCCCTAGAGGTTTGATAAACAAATCGTTGAGTGCTAATACGATATAATGAAAACACGAGACATTCACGTTGTCAACAAGTGTCTGGCCTCAGCCATATCATCACATACACACACACATGTCTTTCATTAACTGTTTGACATATATATTTTTCCATTGCCCCCGTTAATCTGAAGCATTCGAAACATGTTTTCCACTCACTTTTGATTGCTTTGATTAGTCGTCGCTATTTTTGGCCTTAAATATTGAAATACTTAAGTTTGTAAACTGTGCAAACGTAAATTCAATTTGTTCAGCCCAATTAGTAAATATTGTCTAAACTATGCCAAATGTTTTTCTTTTGCGTGCAAAGCTTTCAAAGAGCTTTTCCTTGGCTCTTTGGCGCAGCGACTATTTATTTGTCTAGCGAGTGGGCACCATAAATAGAAAAATCCGTATATGTAAAATTAGGAAAAGTGTTGAGAGTTTAACGTGGGACAGTGGGACGATACCCAGGCATGTGTATATATGTGTGTATATATATAGCTATAAATTTACTGAATAATAAAATATGTAAACTGTGCTGCAGTTAAAATTATCATGCTAATATCATGTCACTTTTATTTGAATTTAAACTCAGCCTAAAAATATGCTAGTTATTTTAATAAAATTGTTTCTTGGTTTTAGCTCAGCAAATTCATATACCTATGTATCTATGTATCTATGTATCTATGTATCTATGTATCTATGTATCTATGTATCTATGTATCTATGTATCTATGTATCTATGTATCTATGTATCTATGTATCTATGTATCTATGTATCTATGTATCTATGCGTCTATGTATCTATGTAACTATGTATCTATGCATCTTTATTAATATATGTGTATCTTATCTATCTATATGCACGCATATATGTATCTTATGTACTTATCTATATATAGCACCTGCTCGTATTATGGACAAGTTCTCACAGCAGCAGCCAGAAGCCAGCTTGCGCTGACAGCTGCGTCAGCTTTGGTGCTTTTACCTTCAATTTTATGAACTTTTTCGTATCCGTAACTTTTTCATTACATTTCGACTTGTAGAATTTTCTGGCTGCCGTTGTTGTTATTTGGCTGCAATTGCCGTGCTGTTTACTTGTTGTTACTGTTGTTGTTGTTGCTGTTGTTGTTGTTTATGAGCTAATTACATAAGCTCGTTATTAGGCGAATTACTTGTTTCTTCATTTGCAGCTGGATACTGCTGCTGCTGCTGCTGCTGCTGCTGCTTTTGGCTCAGCGGCAGCAAATAAGAAAACTTTTTTAATTATAACCTCATTTAGATTTGACGTTAGCTCCGTCGCGTGTCTGCTTCGCCCGCTCGCCGTTTTCTTTTCCTCTTCGTCTTCCTCTGCCTCTTCCATTTCCCTGTCCTAGCAGCCAGCTTCCTTGGCTTATGCCATTTACGCTTTCTGCTTCTTATCTTTACAATCTAATCAGTGCATATTTAATTTGATTTTCATCACTGTGACAAACAATTGTTGTACATTTGCCAGCCTCAGCTTCTGCTTCTGCTGCTCCTGCTGCTGCTGCTGCTGGCGGCTTCTCCTCGGGCAGCGGCCAACAGACGCAGCTGCCAATCAAATGGCTGGCCAAGTTTATTCCAATTTCCTAACACCTTTTCAAAATGCCTTTGCTTTCAATCTGCGCATATTGAGCTACTTGGGCTGCTTATCGTGACTTTAAAAATACTTGAAAAAATTACTTACTTCAGCTTTAACATTTAAATTGAATATTTCTAAGCTTATTTGTTAGCACAGCTAAGCTGCTTCTAATTTTGTTTATAAATAGGTATAAACTAAGTTTAGGACTGTCAAACTTTACTGTAGTATGTAAGTCTCTCATGGTTTCAATTTAAGCTGCTTCACGTCAAAACTTTCTGCTATGTTAATATCATGAAGTTAAGGAAATGTTTTATGTATTTATTGATTTTTTATGTAATATGTTCATTATATTGCTAGATTTGCATATAAGCATAAATACCATTGAAAGTTTGGGATTTAAAGTAGTCATGTAATCTAATTTTTTTTAATTCTATTCTATTCTACTTCATAGATTTTAATTAATTAATTTCATTTTATTTAATATACGACAATAATTCACGTTTAAATGCTTAAGACTGAATTAACAAGCAAAAATAAAATTAAATTCATTTTAAAGCAACATTAAATGAATTTAAAAAATAATTAATTAATTAAATATATTAAATCATCATACTAAAAAAATTTATCATAATTTCTACTCTTTAAAATCTTTACTACCACAAATTAAATATTTCATATTTATGTTTACTGCAATTGTTAATGCATGAATTCTTGCATTAATAAACAATAATTTTGCTATAGCAAGCAGTTGATAAACCATTTTATCTGAAATATTTTTTCATTGCTGCTTAAGATTGAATTCCACATTTGTGCACCTCTTAGTACTAAACTTGAGCTCATAAGAACATTTCCTTCTGGCAGTTGAAAAAAACATATTTATTTTCATTTGCCACATTGCTGGCGGCAGCACATAGTTAAGTCCTTTCATAGTTTGAGAGCCCTATATCAGGTTAGTCCCGACAAAAGAGGTCGATTGAATGGAATGCTTAGACAATTGAAGACATTAGAATAGTGTGACCAAATTCCTATAAAGAGTAAATATCTAAGATAAGCAAGTCTTTAGTCAAACAAGAAAGTGTATTGTCATTACCAGCATTAAATCTGATTATAGGGTATACGGCAGGACAACCTATCAGCTGTCAGATTTCTACCATTTTCCATTGCAATGAAGCGTTAAAATACGTGCATTTTTTTCCTGCTGCACAACAGAAATATACACACACCATATGTACACGTATAGAAAATTTAGTTTATGCAGCATTTGCATACATATCGTCTATATATATACATGTATGTATGTTTGTATCTTTGTACTTCGTTTCCAGCCAGACGTATGGCAAATACGTAGCAAATGCTCGCCTTGTTAGTTGTTGACTGCAATTTCCTTGGCTTGCAATCGGGATTTCTTACTTGTGTGTCTCTCTCTGTGTGTGTGTGTGTGTGTGTGCGAGGGTGACTGTGTGTGCTGAACAAATATTTGGTTTACGTCAAATTGACACGCATGAGTTAATCAAAAGATGATTTGTTATTTCTTGCAAATGCATCCGCATCAGCATCCACAGCTACATCCACATCCGCATCCACATCCGCATCCGCATGCCCAATGATCTCAGCAGCTGAACAAGAAACAGCCGCAAATTTATATTTGAGCATCAGCTCAGATCTGAGAGCACTTTGGCGCTTATTTTACGCGCTCTCATTAATAAACGAAAGCATTGCCCATAAATTTACAAGCTCGCACACACACACACACACACACACCCACACAAAGAGGGAAGGAGAGAGAGAGAGAGAGAGAGAGAGAGAGACTGATAGACAGACACCCCGTCCGGTACTTACATTTAGTTAAATATATTCGCACGTCTTGCAAGGAAGTGAGCTGAGGCCGGCCGAAGGCATCGGGCGTCCTGCCCAAGCTAAACAAGATAAATGAGAAATGTGAAAATGAAACATCACCTTTGCCTCCGAGAAGACGACGCCCACGCACAAAACCCAACAGACAGAAGTGTTGCCACATACTGTGGCTGTTAGCAGAGTCAGAGCAGAGTCAGAGCAGAGCCGGAGCAGAGCAGGAGCAGAGCTGGGCCAGGGCCATGGCAGAGCAGAAGTTGTCTATTTTTTATATTTCGTCGTCGTCTCTTGCCCTTGCCGCTGTGCCAGAGCTAAGCTCTATCTGTCTCACTCTCGCCTACTCTGCCTCTCTCTCTCATCTGTAGAGCAGAGCAGCAGATAACATTTTAATATGGTAGGAAAAGCACTTGTTAGCCAGCCGCAAGTTGTTAGCCTGGACTGGAGTTTGTAGTTGGCCAGAGACTTGGACAGCGCGAGGGCGAGAGCGAAAGAGGGAGCGAGAGAGAGAGAGAGAGAGAGACAGAGTCGAGCTACCTCTTCGGTCTGGCCATTAGGTTAATGTGCACTTCAAACGAAATTAAGATGAATTGATTAAAATTACAAAAGTGTTTGGGTTTTGGTGTTTCCGTTGCAAAGTTCAAGCACAAGATTAAGTGCTTTCATTTGCCTGCGTTTGAGAAATGATGCAGCAGGAGCAGCAGCAGGAGCAGCAGCAGGAGCAGCAGCAGGAGCTCCTTCTGGTATACCTTGAATAATATTGAGCCGAAAGTTTTGGCTATTAATGCAGGTGTAATGAATGTGCCTGCATTTATTAATGCTGCCAACTTTTGCTAATTAATTGCCATTTAATTTATATTACGGCCAAATACAAGCGCCATGCATAGCCAAGGCAAATTATGCAGCTAAATACTTGCGAAATGAATTAATTGGTTCAGCTGGCTGGCNGTGAAGGTGGTCTGTATGTATGTGAGTAGAAATTGCAGTGGAATAGCAATTAAATTTGCATGATCGGATTACAATAAAAGCGGACGTGAGTTTACTACAAAACACAAAGGATATTGTGTATTATATTTTAGTAAAACGTAAAAGAGTTGCTCGTGCAAGGAAAGTAATTGAACAGCTTATTAAGTGTCTAAATATATAAGGATATATATATATGTATAGGCATGTAATCGGTGAATAAGTCGCAAAATTAGTACATACATATATATGTATGTATATACAAGGGAATATGGCGGATCAGAAGTGCCAGTGAGATATTAATGTACTATTTTACGGAAGTATGGGATACTTATCTCGACGGCCGTTGGAATGCTGATTTGATGGATGTGGATGAATCTCCGGCTCGAAGGACCGGCAGGAAATGTAAATCCGAAATCCCAAATCCCAAATCCCAAATTTTCTGCATCGGGATTATGTGTGGCAGTGTTTTTATGCCATTTCGCAACCTACTTTGCATAAATTTCAAATGAATTGCAATGCCAAAAGCGCAGCCAAACAATTGCCACTGCTGATTTCCGCACCCCCCCCCCCCCTTCCACAAGCCCAACCCCCTGCACAGGTTACCCAATCAATGTAGAAGAAGTGAGAGAGAGAGAGAGAGAGAGAGAGTGAGGGAGAGTGCAGCGTCTGCCCTGCGATCGACTTGAAAGCGTAAGCGCAAAATTTTGTGTTTTTCTTTCGGATTTTCTACTTTGTTGGCAAAGCAAGCAACTGACTCCACCCAAGCCACCCGAACCACCCAAACTAGCGGGTCGTGCTTTCATTTGCCCAGTGCAAACTTGTCGCCTTTGTTGGATTCGTGTCGCCTGCGCTGCTGACCAGGCAACCCAGGCAAACGCTGGCAAACGCAGCTCTGCGCAACTTTCTTTCAGATGCTTGCAG